GAACCAAAACCCATTGGTTTTGTGCGGAATCCTTTAGAAAATGAGATAAAGATTTAGATAATTGTTTTTATTATTTAGAAGAAAAATATATTTATATCAGTGATTAATAAAAACTCAAAAAAGTAGAAATAAATATCTCGACCATGTGATTAATATCAAAAGATATAGTATAGATAAGATAAGTAAATATAAAATTTATTCAATCTAAGATTGGTATTCATAGTCAGTTCTTATTTCAAGACCTTAAATAATGTTTTGAGATGCTAATATAGCTTTATAATTAGCTCATGACTCTTAAGGCAGTGTTAAATATAAGACTTGATCATGAATACCTAACAGCTGATGAGAAAAGGCCTAATATTTACTGATCAATCGACACATTTATATAGAACGTTACGATTTGTCACTAGTATTAAAACGAAATCAGTTTCTTATATTTGCTATTTTCGGTAATAAAAAAAATCTTACCTAGTAACAACAGGAGTTTTTAAATAGACACCATAAATGTCCTTTATTTTATCAGCCATTTGTGTAGATTGATTTTGTTTATTCCAAAATTTTATTAGTTTGGCAAATGTCATTCTATATATTTTCTTGTATACCATATTATTGTCTAATGCTTTCTCAGAATCTTTTACCGCAATAAGATTCAATATGTAACTCACATATCTATGATGTGGTGGAAGAGTAATATTTTCTGCATCTAGATTTTCCACATCCATAATTAAAAGATCACATAGGCTATGAAATTCTATAGTAATCTCTTTATTATTTTTATCCTTTTGGAAACTTCTAAAATGAGTAGTAATTTTTATTTATAAATTATATTACAATATTTTATATGTGAATTATATTTTATTAAATTATATCTATTGTTTATGTTTTAGTTTTATTAATTATATAAATACATGTATGTTAATTTAAGAAGCTTTTCTATGTAAATATAATATTTATGTATACATTATATTAATAAAGAAACATGTAGTATAAACAAATTTTATAAGTATGTAAAATATATTTAAAATACAAATTTATCGAAAGAATTTAACAAAATTTGATTCATTGTCAGTTGTTGTGCCACATATTTTATTTTGGATGTGGTATTCGAGAAAGATTGAATTAATTGCTTGAACTAAAACATCGTAGTATGTCTATCTGTCTCATCCTACGACAAGCCAATGCAGCTGATTCTCTCTCTAAAGTTTCGGGGTTTATCCAATGTACCGTTATTTCTAAGTAACTTCTACAAATGTAAATTTTAATAATTAAAATATTAAAAAACTTATATATATTTTGATATTCATTGCTAGTATTTAAAATCTATATTAGATCTAATCTAATCTAATCTAATCGATGTAACATACACTATAGAGTTTGACTACTTACAGTAAATATTGGAATTTTTCTGTATAAAATAGATTAGATTAGATCTAATATAGATTTTCAATACTAGCAATGAATATCAAAAAATATATATTTTTTTATCGGAAAAATTCCGATATTTACTGCAAGTAGTCAAAATCTATAATGTATGTTACATAGATACACAAAGCTAATCAGTATCCTAGAGCAAAGAATTTATTAAAATTATATAATTTAATAAATTAAATTGTATTTATTTACCTTTTTGTTTTGCTTCACAAATCCGCTGTTGTCGTAACTAATTGTATTTGAAGCGATCAGCGATAGCGATTCTCCCGAGGGAGGATTGATGGGAGTGGTTGAAAATAAACTGAGGAAAAGCTTGACTGCAGTTTACTTCGTTGTTTTATTTCCCAATAAAACAGAATACAAAAGCGCGGGCGGCAATCTGCCGTTAGTCGAGTCCGAGAAGCTACGGACAGCGGTACGCGAGCACGCGGTTGTTGCCACGCGGACAATTGCAGAGTGCGAGGGGCGGCACTGGCGCTCCGGTTTTTAAGCCCCCCGATCTTCCGGAAGATTCGCACGATTAGTTGGCACTTTTGAGCAGCAATAGTTGTTTGTCTCGATTAGTGGAATTCCCGAAGATAGGGGCGGTAAAGACTCCGTTTTGCGAGCTCAACCGCGTCGCCTTTGAATCTCATAGGGAGATCGGCGCCGCGGCCGAGCCCCGTGACTCGTCGCGTCGCTCACGGGCGAGCGCGCCAAGTCGGCGAGCGCGAGCCATTTGAGAGACGATGTCGGCACTCAATCGCGAATATTTCCGAACAGTATTTCAGTTATTTTTTTCAAGAACAAATTTCTGTTAAAATTTCTGCGTTTTATGGATTCACGTTTAACACAAAAAACCGTGTATTCTCGTTAAATATTTCACGGAGTATAATTGACTCTTGTGCTTTACTCTCCATA